TAAAATTTTTTAAAAATTCAATATTATATATAATTTAATAAGCTGAATAAATTTTAATTATTTTTGAAATTTAATTAATTTAATAAAAAATAAATTTTTACTATACAAGTATTATTTTAATTTATTTTATATAATAATAAAAAATCTTAACTATATAAAAACCTAAAATTTTATTTAATTTTAATTATTTTAAAATCTGTTGCATAAATTTTTTTAAACTTTTTTTTTATTTAAAAGATATAGATTCAAAGAATTTATAATTTAATTTTTAACTTAATACCTTATATATTTAGCTTTGTACAAGTTTTTAAAAAGTGTCCATAATGCTATGGTACCCTACTATATTTTTAGATTATTTTGATTTTGTATAACAAAATAGTTTTTTCTAGGTTTCTCAAAACTTGCAATTAGCAAAATTCTCTAGTTTTTACTTTTAAGGTTCTATATTTTCAATTTTTTTAAAAAATAAGACCTTATTTCAATAGTAATAGAACAGTAATAAGAAATAATAAAATTTACTATTTAGGAAGATTGAAGAACAAGTATCTAGTGATGTCTTCATAATAATCACATCACATGATTAAGTGTTCAGCCTACATTAGGATTAGTATTAAGGTTAGATAATAAATTAGTTTAAACTAATTTGTTTAGTACTAGTAAACAAATAATATAGTTGTATAATTTATATAATATGATGATCACTGAAGTACTTGCTCATCAAATATCTCCACTGTTCTTCTTTAATTTAGTTTGCCCAATAAAGTTAGGCAACTAATTCTTTTTAAATAATCAAGTAAGTAGTTTGCCAACCAACTTTAATTAATTTATAAGACTATAAAAAAACTAATATTGTAAGCCTAACCTACTGTCTTATAGTGTACACTTTTTGAAGTAAAAGTGATATTTAGGTTTGTTGAGTAGGAGTTGTATAGTTCTTTTTTTCTTGATTATTAATTAATTCTAACAATGTACAAAATGCAGAATTAACAATAAAATTTATAATTTAATATATATTTAAATAATACAAATTACATGATCTAATCTTTGTTAAAATAAACAAAAATAATACAATACATATTTTGTAATGTATGTATAATTATTTTTGTATTGGCAATAATAATGATCACAAAATTCTAAGATTAGAAAAAAATGCTATTTGCAAATAAAATAAAAAAATTAATAGATATACCCAGAAATGTATAAGATAATACAATCTATTAAAAAATTTTTTTTGTTGTATTATTTGTGATTCCAGTATAGATGAAATATCATGTTGTCATTGTGGTGTCAGAGAAATGAATTGGTGGGTAAATAGCTTTTAGAAAATTTAGCAACAACAGTTATTTCATGATTCCAAATTGATATAAATTATCTTTAAATTTTAAAATGAGTTATTTCTCAATTAGCAAAAATTTTAAAAAACAAAATTATTTTACCAGATGATATAACTATAAAACTAATAAAAATTTATATAAAATTTTACATAAAAAAAATCACATAGTTAATAAAAAAAAAAAACCACAATAAATGATTTTAAAAATTTGCATAACTAAAAAAATTACATAAAACAATTTTTATGTTCACCATGTAGAACCCACCCACATCGTCATATACATAAGCAAGTACTTCTTTGGCAGGGGCAAGTATTAGAAAAGCAGTTGGTTTTTTGGCAGCATATACTTGAAATTGCCAATTGTCAAACTGTTTCATGCTGTTCAAAAAATGAATGGGTCAAATTTATACTAGATGATGAATTTATCAAAATATTTTAATTTTTTATTTATTTTAATATTCGAACAAAGGTTTTGCCAGAAAGTTGTATCATTTCATTTACTATATAAATATATTAGTTAGTGCTTATTTGTCAAACCCTGGCTAAGGATTGGAACCACCCTAAAAATTTTATTAATTGTTCAACCGTTTAATTTAACCAGCATTAAGATAATCCTGGCCCATGGTCAATATAATTTAGCCCGGCACTACAAAAAAATTTTTATGCAATTAAACGGTTCCAATCCGTACCAGTGACAAACAGAAAGGTCATCTGCAATAGACTTGGTCCTTAAGTTTTGTAGTGTTGCATTAAGAATTGACCTGTTTTCTAAATCGGGAATGACGTAGGTCAATTCAAAAACGACCTAATTGTGAACATTTTCAGTATTCAATCAGAAATTAGGGCGCTCGTCCTTATGCTGCAATAAATACGTAATTATTACTATCAGTAACCCTGCTAACTATAAGTCTGTATTACGAATCGAGTCATTTCTCAATCGATGAAATTGAAAAATGACGCAAAACAAGAAACACCAGGCAAACTAATAAAAATTTTTTTTTTTTTTTGATAATCTGTAAATTTCAAAACACTGGTTAAAAACCATATTTTAACTAAACAATAACCAGTAATAAATAGTACAAATTATAACTTATTTACTATATATTTACTAGGCAATATATGTAGTTAATATATTTAAATGCATATATTACCTAGCGAATATATTGTAAATAAGTTATAATTTATACTATATATTACTGGGTTGTTATTTAGTTAAAATATGATTTTTTTTTTTTTACTAGTGAAACCGTAATTAATATCAGCAGATAAAATGTTGATATATTTGTTGTGTATGTTGTTAAATGTATTTACACGTGCTGTATCGTATAACTTTCTAGATTTTTTTGAGTAGAAATTCACCCAGTCATATTGCACAGCTCATTATTGTATATATTTCTTCATAATATTATTTAATTATATTTTAACCCAAAATATTTAAAACATCTAATTTGAAATTCGAATTAAATCATAGGCAAAATTGTTATGAAATACGTAAATAATCTATGAATAAGAAAATTTTATGAATTTGGCCCATCCGGGTCATAACCAAGAATACGCAGGGTAGAGTTCATTAAAGGATCAGTTCCACCTTCTATACCAGGAGATACATCTGACAGGTCGGTCACACCTTTAAACTGAACGACTATCGGTGGATGAATTGAATAGCTAATGATTTCTCCGGCCATAATAAGATCGACTATCTGCATATCAAGATGATAATATGGGTCAATTATATTAAGTTTTTCCAATAGCTTCTTAGCACCTTTAGCTGAAACAGCATAAGCGTGTGTGCACTTCGGATGTTCCGATTTATGTAACACATGAATAGTTAAACCAGTTTCGACGTAACTACCCCGCTCTGAGCAATGACCAAGGTACAGCATATCCCAGTCACTAGGTAATTTACGATGAACTTCAGTCATAATATTAGTGATGTTAATTTCTATATCTACATCATCTTCAAAAATTAAACCATTTTCATATCCATTCTTGACGATTGATTCGAAGATTGAATAATGACTTAAATAACAAGCCTTAACACCTGCGCTTAAACCACTCTTGTTAAGTTTACTAATTGCTACCCTATCATATTTATTAACGGCCTTAATAATATCAAGATTCAGGTGAAGATAATTTCCCAGGACCTTCATTTTCCTATATCTATCTATTCTATACTCAAGATTAATAACATAAATATGACTAAAGCCAAGGGTAGTACAATTTGAATTGTTTGTGCGATTTGAATTATTTAGTTCTCTGAAATTAGGGTTAATAGGAGGATGAAAAACTCCTTGAAAAAGGAATGTTTTGTTATAAATCACTAATATTACTAATACAAGAAATATGAGCCCAAAATAAGGCCATATATTTTTTTTCAATGCGTATTTCATTGAAAAACTAATAAAATGTCAATACAGTGTTTTTTATTATGCAATATTTATAGAATGTATTTTATTATTGCTAAGAGCGACGCATTTATATAATCTCTTTAAAAGCTATGTTGACGACGCAAAAAATTTGCAACAATAAGTACCATCACAATTGATAAAAATTCACTTATTTTTTTTTTAGAAAATTACATAACTTATCCTGGTAGTACTGCCCAGGAATAGTAAACATCCGCGTTTCGCATGTTTGCAAATGGGTCTTTGCTTTGACAATGATCTTACGGAACAGGGAATATTGAAGAACAAGTACCCCAGTGATATTTTCATGGTAATCACTTCACATGATTAAGTGCTCGGCCTACGTTAGGGTTAGTGTTAGGTTAGGTTGTTTAGTGCTAGTAAACAAATGATGTAATTGCATGATTTCATGTGATATGATGATCACTGGGTTCAGGTTTCCCGAATAGTATATAGGCTAAATTTAGCCTAATTAATCAATTTCTTACAATTGAGTTTATACAGTCTAAAGGACGTATCGATACATATGTATGATGTAGAAAATTTATTTGTCCTCATCCCTTAACTGTTAAATAAAAAATTTATCGTCTTCAGTAATAATTGAGGAAATAGGTTTCTGTATCATACGTATAACATGCATTATCTCTGTAAACGACATTGGGCTTTTCAGATTTTCTGCATCTGTGCATGAAATTTAGCTTCGATATTCCTATATAGAGATAATGCATAAACTGGTAGCACATAAATTATCATATCAATAAAATGAAGAACCTGGGATTCTCAATTTTTTACAGTGATAATGCGATAATCTTTCCTAAATCATCAACTTACGGAAGTTTCAAAGATGTGTAGCAATGGTATACATATGTGGAGACTGCAAATTCAAAATTAGTATAAATTACAGCCATTTTCAAAAGTTGCAGGCAACCATGCCATAGGAACTCACGATATTTCTCAAATTACCTGTACCAGTTTTCATGACTGCTCTAATTGGATCTCTTATTTTTACAAATCAGAAACAACTGTAAAAATCAGATTAGAGCGGTTCTTGAAAATCAGGAAAATTTAAACTATATCATGAATTCCCATGAAATAGTGTCGATAGTTCACACCTTTTTGAAAAACAGCTATAAGCGCCACGCAAAGTTAATTTTTCGGTTTGCATAACCTGCCGACCCAATTTTTCAAAAAAAAATTTTAAATTCCAATTGTTCCATAAATTTATCCGGTGACACCCGATGGATACCTTAATTCTCCGGAATTACCCGATAGGTCGGATAAAAAAAATCCAAATTTCTGTTTCGTGTCATGTAAAAAAAAACATTGTGTAGCCTAATAAACAGATAATGAAGAAAATCCTCGAATAAATTGCTACGTATTGAGAACGATAAGGGGATATATTGACTTCTAATGTTCTGCCATTCATGCATTATCTTGCAGTATCTTAATAAAAGGTGATTAAAGTTAATCTTCCCTCACATGAAAAGTCATCCGATCATACCTCATAAATTAGTAGCACGAATATAAATACAATCATCGTGTCACCAGGTCGCATCATCCAATCAGAATAAAGATCATGTAGACGAATTTTTGACCATGCACTACGCTCCAAACGCCCTTGGTATAAAAAAGTTAACTTCGTCATATGTTTGCATACAACTGAGTTTTCTCTCAAATTAACGTTAATATTTGAATTAATTATAAAAATAAGTCAGACATAATGATGTTTTTGCCAAGAAATAAGATGAAAATTCTTGTGTTAGGACTCACTTTATTTACTATAGGATATTATGTTAAAAGTATCTCCAAGAATGTCTTTGAGCAGGACTCTTCATTGGATAGAGGTATTAGAATTTTGCAAATAATCATTTAGTCATAGCATGAATTTTTAGATTGGATGATACAATGTAATTTCGATAATATTAATTATTATCATTATTATTCATACAGGCATAGATAATAAAATAACCAATAATACAATACCAAAACGACAAAAAGTGCCAAAAATATTACACTATGCATACCCCGATGATCCGGAAAACCGGCCATTCACTTTTATTCATTGGCTCGCTATGACTTCGGCGATTGAAACTATTAAGCCGGAAAAAACTTTATTCCATTGCGTTCATGAACCAGAAAGTTACTGGTATCATCTTATAAAGCCTAAAATAAGTGTTGTGAAAGCACGGATAGTTAAGGAGATTTTCGGCAACCCTGTGAAAGTCCTCCAGCACAAATCAGATGTTATTCGGATGGAAGCGTTGCGAGACTATGGTGGTATTTATCTTGATCTTGATGTGTTGGTTTTTAAGCCATTCGATGATCTTCTTTATGACGACTTTACAATGGGCATCGAAATGATTCCTAATGCTGTTGGTCTTTGTAATGCGGTGATGATCAGCAGGCCATTCGCACCTTTTCTCACTAGATGGATAGAACAATATAAATACTTTGACGACAATGACTACAATTATCATTCAGTCCTGTTGCCTTACAATTTGTCAAAAAAATACGAAGATGATATCCATGTTTTAAATGAAACTGCTTTTTTTTGGCCGACTTGGGTTGAAGATCATTTGAGATGGGTGCACACATCAAATGAATATGATTTCTCCAACCAGTATGCCTACCATATGTGGTTCACAAGAGGTTATAATAAGTATTTACGACGTTTAACTCCAACATTGATTAGAAATGTGGAAACGAGTTTTAATAAAGTAGTCAGAAGGTTTTTAAATTATTTACCTGACAACTTTAATGAAGAGATCTTTAAACGAGAAATGATTGGAAAAAACTAATAAGGAAGATTATGAAAATATCTGTCCTGGGTCAAATTAAAGAAGGTGAAGAAAAACACAGTGAATATAGTTTGTAAATAAATTTAATTTGCTTGCTCGTCTGCCCACGTGATTATAAATCAATCAAATTGTACATAATTTGTATCTGTTGCAAATAAATATTTGGCTCCGGCCATACATATGGTGTGTTTCACATTAAAAGGGCCCATTTTGCAAATTTTTTGAAAAATGAGTTTTTATTAGATTCATGTAAATTTAACATGACTGGCATTTTTCAATTATAAATGAAAAGCGATTTGCATAATAAAAATGGAGAAATGTAAAAGAAAAATTATACGAAGCTGTCTAAGGCCAAGCACAGCAAGAGATTACCCGATAGTCACCTGTTACGTTTAGCCAATCAAAATCGTGAAATTTGCTTAATCCCGGATCAGTCCGAAATCAAAATAAATGATTAAACTCAATTATCTCAAAATTGTTTATAGTAAGACCTCCCTAAGTGCACCCCTCGGGACTATAGTAAAAAAAATCAAAATGTGCACTTAAAGAGAGTGTTCATTTATAGAGAACAGAATATATAGTGCTCTTATAAGTTGGGGCTAAGCATTGCCGTGCATTTAGAGAGAATTTACATATGGCATGCACTTATAAAGTGTGCACTTAGAGAGGTCTTACTGTATATTGCAAAATGGGCCCTTTTAATGTGAAAGACCTCATATAATGCTATGCACTGCTTATACAGTAAAAAAGGTGGTTAAGTCAGGTTAGTAATGAAAGTTGTAAAGAGTTTAAAGATACTATCCCTTAGTCTGTATATAAATTTGGAGCAAATTTGCCCCTAATTTTATATGTTCATTTTTACATAATTATTAGTATTATTAACAATTAATTGAAAATAATAATCAGTAAAAAATAGATGAAACAATACAAGTGGACTAATAATGCCTTGCTGCATTTCATTTGGCAATGTAGTATAACTTCTATAAAGCTCATTAACATTTTCTATTGGTTCAAATTCTGGTAATTTTGAAAGTGTTGGTACTTTATTTAATTTAATATTCTTTCTTTTATTCATTTCTACACTTAATTTTTTTTTTCACTTCCCACCTACCCTACTTTTTTAACTTTGTTTGTAAGTGCTTTCTGCACTTTCCTTATATTCAGAATCTATGCTATAATTGGTAATATAATCTTGTTCTTCTATTATGAATAAATCTTCATAATTAATATGTTGTTAATTTTTATTTCTTCATGATTATTATGTTTAAAGATAAAATATTGCAAATCGGGTAAAGAGATATTATTAGCAGCATTATACTCAATATTAGAAGTATTTTTATCAGCAATACTATTACTATCAAACATAGTGTAAACTGATTTTTTTTAAAAAAAAAAATGTAGAGAATTAAAAGTGTTGATCTTTTATTCAAAAAACATTTTAAAAGTTCATTGAACCTTATTGATTTTGTTTGCAGCAAAGATACATCAACACAAGTGTAGCAGTTACATGTGTATATACTATGCTATAAATAATAGGAAGATACTTATAGTAAATTTTAATAATAGTATAAACAATTTGCCAAAAACCAAAAATTCAGAACAAATTTGCCTCAAATATAGACTAAAGGATATGTAAAGCAGTCATATAGATTTTATTAACTAAAATTCATATATTTACCAATCAAATTTATAGAAATATCAATAAAATTTATAAAAATATTAATCAAATTTATATTTTAATCAAATTAGTATATTTTGATTAATTTTCAATAACTCTTAAATCTAGTATTCTAATCTTGATGAATTTGGTACTATTTGTATTCTTTCAGTAAAATAATTTAAATAGTACAAAATTATTATAGCACTTACTTACTATTTTAGTTAGAATTTTACTATATTTAGTAATTAACAATTACCTTATTTAGTAATAATTTTTTTTATTAATATAATATTATAGTAGAAACTTTATTACAATAACCCTAAAGATTAATAGTCTCTTGTTACTAAAAAAACTTGGGTAAGGAGGCAGATAAGTCACCTGACCAGGCTGCTAAATTTTTTCAACTTAGTACTAGCTAATAATAAGAAGTTAT